CAATCAAATGCCCAGTTTACAAACCTGTTTGTGAATTTCATTATGAACTTTTGAACTTGGCAACGAATTTGCGAAGTTCGGAACGAAGTTCGGAATCTTACGATGAAAAGTCAGCTGAAATTGACTGTAAAAGGACGCATTTTATCCTCATCCGTTCCGTATTTTATCCGTTCCGTGGATCCGCTCCATCCGCTTCCGCATTTTAACCTAATTGTGACATGTTTCACAATAACAAGTCTCATTGACCTTTGACTTTTCCAGTGTCACGTCTATTTTCAGCTTTTCGCATGTGTTCAATAATGTCACTTTAGATTTCAATAGTTTCACAGTTAAGCAGTGTTTAAATTAACTGTGGTTTAAAGCAGTTTTGACAAGCTTTGAACAGTTTGTGTGCAGAATACTACAGATTGATTCTCGTAAGATCTGGTAGAGTTATCGTTGCACTGAACAAGAGTTTGCACCGTTGACAACGGCGTTGTGCTTTATAGACAGTAAACAAAGACAAGGTCCGTGACGGTACACGTTGGCTACATGTACCTCCTTGCTTTTTTCTTCTATTGCATAAAGCTTGTTGGCGAATCAAGTGATTGGCGATACTGTAACACGTTGGCGACAACACATTGGATATCTCCTCGTCTTTCTTATTTAAATAAGGAGCTCTGACTCAACCGATTTCTTTAGTCTCGCAAGTTATTTTCTTTGTATTAAAACGCCGTACAAACGCTTACCCGCTTCTGTTTAATAGTTGTTTATGCTTTATTGATCTGATACAGTCTGATGCAATTTTTCGCTCTTTGTACTGAGTGTAGCCATCTATTCTGTGATGTAGCACCTTTACAGTCAATGACAATGTATAATGAATACACGGTCTAAATAATATCGATGGGTACTCAATTGAATGCCGGTATTAAATGTATAACATAATATTGTATTATTGCGTAGAATCTCAAAGATTTTCTCAATATTCATGTCTGAAATGTTTATATACTTGAAAACAACACTGTCTCGCTTCTTCGTACGTACTGTACCTCCGTATAATGAGTATACCGTGAAAATAATATCAGCACTCAATTGAATGCCTACAGAATCTCAAAGATTTTCGACTCAATATTTAATACGTCTGAAATGTTTATACACTTGAGTGTTGACTGCACTGTCTAGGCGGTCTAGCTCCTTCCTAGCTCTGTATAATGAATATACCGTCTAAATATTATCGACACTTAATTGAACGCCCGTAATGCATAAGATCAATTTATATATTGCGTAGATTTTCAAAAATTTGCTCAATATTCACGTCTGAAATGTTTATACATCTGAAAACAACACTGTCACTCCTTCCTAGCATATCGTCACGCCATCGTGATCTACGGCTTGATAGCGCATGCGCATTTGCGCTACCAAAGAAAAAATCGGGTGTTCCGGGGTAAAGATCCTTTACACAACATGAGAAGCGAATGTTCTAAAATTTACAAAAAAATACAATAACAAAAGCGATTCCACAAAATTTTTGTGAACTTGGCAAAAGGATAACAGAATATGTAAATAAGTTAACTGAAATTGCTTAAATAACCTTCAAAGTACTGACAAAGCACAATAAATCACTACGAACATAAATCGTATACACCCCCCGGAAAGTTTACTGTATGACTGACTGACTGACTGAATGACTGACTGACTGACTGACTGACTGAATGACTGACTGACTGACTGATAAGTTTGAATTTCCTCCCAGTCATCACAATACTGTGAAGTTTCGAAGAAACTTCACACTAAAAATCGAGCAAAGCTTAACACACAACGGTCACATTATAAAACGTTTGTAACAAGGGACTCGTAGTCATTGTTCCATTATATTGAAAAGCGCCATTCCTTCAGCCGGATAGATGCACAAGGATCAAGTTACACGTGGTTACTGTTTCACTTTTAAAGTTCGTCCAATTTTATCAACCTTCTAAGCGTTTTAAAAGAAAGTCAGAAAATAGTAATAGCATTTTGTCGTATTAATATTTGTAAGCCATAAGGCATGATCATTTTTTATAACAGCTACTGTAGTTAGTACACCATAATCAGCCGGGGGCAGTTTTAGTGTAAACTCTCTCTAGTTAAATGATACGTAATATTCTCAAAGTATGAGTTGGAAAAAATTACTAGAATACATGTAATATGTATACTTGCAGTTAAATATACAGTATTCAACCGATCTTACCATTCTCTAGACAAAAACAATGTTTAGTTACTAGTCAGAGTACTTACGGTTACACAATTTTGCTCTTCAGATTCACTACGACGTTTACTGTAACGTTTTGTCAATTCACGATAAACTTTACAAAATCTAGCAAGATCCAAACATTTCTCCGTCTCAATTGCATTTGTTGATTTCTTTATCTGATACAAAATGTAAATAGGCGATAGTCATCGCATTGAAATGATGTAGTCCAGCATTTTAATATATATATATATATATATATATATATATATATATATATATATATATATATATATATATATATATATATATATATATATATATATATATACACTGGATCCAGAAAAGTTTGACCTTCGAATATATATATATGTCGGCCATTTTAAATTTTCTTGGGTTAATTATACGCGAACGCATACATCAAATGTCGCTCGCAACGTATTGTATATTGCAATATTATTCCAACAGCTCAAATGAATAAAAGAATCATTGATTGATGTCTTTTGGACATAATCATAATGGCTAGTAGGAAATGAACATTTGGAAATGAACATAATGGCTAGTAGGAAATGAACGTTTCTGCTTCGCCAGGTCACGAATGCTGCGTGTGCTGAGTTTCAGGGGATGAAATATCGAATGACTATCGATTCCGTTAAAATTTCCGTTCGCAAAATATAATAGAGAGTTCGGCAAATACAAGGGCAACCGCAACGGCAATATGGTCATTAACAATAGCATTAATCCTCAAAGACAAAGGCGAATGTAAATTACATGGTCTTAAGCGTTGTGCAATGCCGTAGTTGTTGAAACTAATACGTGATTTGCATCATTTTCACGGTGCATGACTACGGCAACAATTCATTCGTTCGATGTTCTTTGAGAGTTTTATTGAATTCGCGGACTATTTTTATTTAAGGGTACGTTTGAAAGAAACAGGAATACTTAATGAGGCAAATTAAATGTAGTAACGTATACTTTGGCTCAAATACAACAATATAAGCAATTATATTTTCCCCGTTGCAGTTGTCGTTGCCGTTCTAGGTTGCCAAACTCTTTAATATAATAATTCTGGACGTAGGTTACAGCTATAAAATAAGCACAAGTGAATACGAAAGAATAAACAAAGAAATTCATCGAGGCATGCTAATAAGCGTGTAAATCTCTAAGGATGCAAAAGAATAAATTACGACATGCCAAAAAGATCAGGTTCCAAATTGTGACAAGAGTTAATTAGCTAACAACCCTCAAATGTTCATTAGATAGCTACTACAAATATGTGTAAGAACTTCAAGCAATGATCCTCTACTTATTTGAGCTGTTGGAATATTGCAATATACAGTACGTCGCGAGCGACATTTGATGTATGCGTTCGCGTATAATTAACCCAAGAAAATTCAAAATGGCCGACATATATATATATATTCGAAGGTCAAACTTTTCTGGATCCAGTGTATATATATATAGATATATATATATATATATATATATATATATATATATATATATATATATATATATATATATATATATATATATATATATATATATATATATATATATATATATATATATATATATATATATATATATATATATATATATATA